AATGAACTGAACAGTTGAATTGTGGAGAATTTATCAGAGCTGGTCTCCTGTGACCAGGTGGGTTTTAAGAGTACATAAAACTGTGACCATCCCGACTTATTTTGATAAAAACACTGGATATTCTTTCTAACTGAATTCAGGACTTTGTAGCCAGGTGGGACATTCTTGGGACAAATAACAATAATAATCTGAACACATTTAACCAGTGTTACACAGCTAACTTTGAGTGATACTCTATCCAGGAGCTACCTTTTCAGTATGAAACTCTATACCTCCTGTCAAGTTGCAATGTGGCTCTGAAAAGTTTGTAGGTTCAAATCATTTACAAAGTGACAAGTTTTCATAGTGGTAAAAAAGCAAATTTTCAAACTGCTCCTGCAACATAGTCAACTTTTCCACTGTCAAATCAAATACTTAGTATGTAGTATGTTAACTAATAAATTAGTTAAGAAATCACACTGCTATTGACTATTGTCTTCTTTGAACCACATTTCAGTAGACATCAGAGAAGTGGATTATGCTGCAGAAATAGTTAAACTTAAACTGACATTAGCCTCTGTTCTTTGTGAAGGAAACTTTTTAAAACAACTGTTCAAAACTCCAGGAGAAGAGTGTTTTATACTCAAGAAGAGAAATAGTGTAGTACCCGTCAACTGAAATACCAAGTATTATCAAATAAATGAACACCATTTAAATTACAATTGGACATTAATGATACAGAGACAGCAGCATCACACAAACTTTCCATGTTCTCTGTCCAGGCAGGAAATATCAGGTCTATTGGGGTCATTCTGCTTTTAATGCTGAAGCTGCTGCTCCTGTTGATCAGTGAGCTTCTCAGTGGGAGCAGCAGCTGACTCTGGTTTGACTCTGAACCAACACTTCTGTTGAAGACCTAATGACAAGAGATGAAATGTTGAAACTCCAGCTTGGAAGCTCAGAAGTCAAGAAACTCTAAAGGGAATACACTTTTAAAATTGTGAATATTTATGGTTGAACAACTGGTTGAATATAATAATATGAAAGCATAACATATCAGTGTTACTATACTGTATGTTTTGGCCCATTTACTACAAATATCCAACATTCCAGACAGACCTCAGTTCATAAATGATAAAAATCAGCTTGTGGACACTTGAAAAATGGTGGAGGTCATAACGTTCTGTGAATCAACAGCAGTGTCTTCACACTTGCCTTCAAGTTCTCAAAGATAAATGATCAGAGTACTTTTTCCATCACTGCTGGCTCTAAGCTGCATTACAGCACAGCAATGACATAAAAGAGAAGAAATAAATTAAATAACAAATTTCCAAAAACACTGACTCACAATTTTACTAACACATATTCATAAGCAATGAGCTTCACCAAGAAGGCATCACACAAAGTAGGTTGAGGCTCCTCTTCCCCTCACCACTGTGCAGGTGCCCTGATAAACTGGGAGTCATAATCCCTCACAGGCATCCCACACTGGAACAAGATCATCTACATTTACAGCAAGTTTTAGTCCACACTAAAGAGGGACAGGAGTCATAGAAACAGTGGGTTTATCTGCAACAAAGATAGCATTAGATTTTATCTCAAAACTTGCAGTTACCTGGTCTACATTTATGTAACTATGCCAAAAGGACATTCTGCTAAAAGGCTACTTTAAACTCTGTAACCATGAAGACCTTGCTGTCATGGTAAAATAAGTGAATTGTGTAATTTCTTACAGCTCAAGTGTTAAACTGGAAAAATAAAATAAAAGTTTTTTCAACCATTAAAATAACTCATTTTGCATCTGTCACACTGCCATCTGTGGGTTTTTAGTTTATCCTCACCACCAACACAGGACTGTGTGACATGAGCTCAACCCTGCCTGGTGTTCCCGCTGACCTGCACTGCACACTAACACTGCAGCTCTCACATAAATCCCCTAATTGGACACTGGGCAAACTATGGCAAAAACAGGGTTCAATACAGTGCAGACTTGTTTAAAAATACATGGTGTACCTACAGTATCCCTTGAGTTGTTTGATAGACAATTTATTTAGAAATCCCTAATGATGATGTTTATTGGTCCTAGCAGTAAATTTGACTTGTACATGCCTGACATCTGGCAAGGTGGTGACAGTGCTCACAACAGAGAAAACTAGAATCACCTCCTCTTGGTCATCTGCCTCCGCCACTTAGAGTAGTTTCAGATTACATCCCTGTTTATACAGATTCTAATAAAATATTAAACATTTATGAGACATTTTGTCATAGCTTCTGTGTGAAGTCTTGAGTAATGGCTAAAAAGTGTTTTCTTAGGTCTCGGTGACCTTAACCTTTGACCTTTAACCACCAAAAATCAGTTTGTCCTTGAGTGTAAGTGGACATTTGTGCAAAATGTGACAGGATTCCCTTTAAGAGTTCTGGAGATATTGCATTCACAAGGCCAAAATCATGTTTTGACTGTGACCTTGACCTTTGAACTTTGACCTTTGGCCACCAAAATCTAATCAGTATACCCTTGAATCGAAGTGAATGTTTGTGCCAAATTTGAAGAAATTCCCTTTAGGTGTTACTGAAATATTGCATTCACAAGGCCAAAACTGTGTCACCATGTCTATGACCTTTGACCTTTGACCCCCAAAATCGAATCAGTTGTTTGTGCCAAATTTTAAGAAATTCCCTCAAGGTGTTACTGAAATATCACGTTCACGAGAATGGGATGGACAGACAACCAGGAAACAATAAGGCTCTGGCTCTGACTGTTGCAATAAAAATGGAGGTAGACGTGAGTAAGAGGGAGATTTAAGCAGATGTGAAAAGAAATAAAAGTGGATGCCATAACATCCCAGCACATCTGTTTTTTCTTGTTGAATTTGAGCCACAACACATCAGTAAGAGCTCAGAGAAACCACCATCAACACAGAGCATAGCCACAGATTATTGTGACCATCAAATACATCTTTGTATTTTTGAAAAACCACAAGATGACAAGATGGCAGGTCCATTAGCTAAACACAATGAATATGTATTGTATGGAAATGAGTAGAAATGGAAATGTCTTTTTTGAATTGCACCTGAAGTTGATTTTTTTCCCTAAATATTTACAAGAAAGCCTTCCTGAAATGTAGTGTAGCCATAGAAATAAATCCTCACTAAATTTTGCAAATAAAATATTTACTTAATTTTCCTTTTTAATCCCTCTTGTTAAATTTGAGTCACCCTGCAGTTACAGGCCTGTTTCAGCTCTGATTAGCACCACTCTGCCCTGCTGTGGAAACCAGGCTGCTGTTTGTGTGTGTGTGTGTGTGTGTGTGTGTGTGTGTGTGTGTGTGTGTGTGTGTGTGTGTTTGGCTGGCACACTGCTGCTTGAGGAGAAGCAGAACAAGCTGTCTGAGGTTTTGAACTTTCAGCTGTGGGACAGTTTAACACCACATAACACTATTAGACAGCAGAAGCCTGGTGTGTTAATGTGAACCAACAAGGATCAAAAAAGTAGATCAAACACACCTGCAACACAAAACCTTTAGAGTGGATGAGAGAGAACTGAACTCCACACAGACACACAGTGTCAAGCTTCAAAGATCCCTGCTGTCATATGTTCTTTTGAATATTGGGCTTATTAAGAGTTTTATTAAGAGTAGTACGTTAAAAACAAAGTGCATTTTTGTCCACTGTCATTCACAGAAGACCTCAGCATCAGTTGAAACCTGCAGTGAGAAAGTGACACAGCAGCTCTTTAGGATGAAAGTCTATGATAACTGACTCTAGAGTCAGTGTAATACTGTATAATAGATCTAGTACTGTGACTATGCTGATGACAAAACACAGCAGCTGAGTGGACACTGTGGAGACTGAAGACAGAACATTACATATTTTGTTAATCTGTGCCATCTAGTGGTGCAACACAACACTGCAACAGCTAATCCTGTATGTTGCATTTAAAGGGAGAGTTCACCCAAATTAGAAAATAAAACATTTTTATCACTCATCTCTTGTAGTTTTGAGTTATTGTTGGTTTTATTGGTCCAGGTTTAGAGGCATTTACCTGTATAACTTTATACAGAAAAAAATAGTCCCTATGAAAACAGCTGACTGTATATGATTGACTGCTAAACATTCTCTGGTCCCACCTACTCAAACATGAGGATTTGAGGGTTTTCCCTTTTTATTTCTTCTATCTTTGTCCAAATATTCAAATCTTTAGGCTTGGACAAAACAAGTAATCTGAAAATATCATCTACAGCTGTGAGAAACAGTAATAGGCATGTGTCAGACTAAACATTATAGACTAAACAATATTGATCAACAGATTCCACAATCGGTGATGAAAATAATCCAGACCAAGACAGACATGTTGCAGTTGGACTTTTTAAATTTTCTGAATGCTGTGCACCACAAAAAAACTGGTCAGCAAAAATTAAATGAAATCAAATAAAACCTAAAGCATAATAAAGTCAAAAAATAACTGCATGAATAGAAACAACTACAGGTGAATGTCTATTGTCTGTGTAATTTGAGCGAAATGACTCTTTTACTAATTTGAAAGTGAGCTGTAGTGAAGAAAACTAGAATTACTGCCTCACAGTTGTCTGCCTCCACCACCCCACCACTAAAATATGAACCATTTGAGTGAAATTTTGTCATAATTGCTGTGAAGTCTTGACTAATGGCTAAAAGTGTTTTCTGAGGTCACTGTGACCTTGACCTTTAACCTTTGACCACCAAAATCTATTCAGTTCATCCTTGAGTCCAAGTGAATGTTTGTGCCAAATTTGAAGATGTTCTGTTGAGATGTTACAGAGATAGTGTCCACGAGGATGAGAGGAAGGGACAACCTGAGAACATCATGGCTCCGGCTCTGACTGTAGCCGGCATGGAGGAATAAAAAGATGGGAGGAAAACGATCGTACTGACAAGGGGAGACAGTGAACACTTGACGTCTAATCATCTGTAACAAGCATTATCAGACATCTGCCACTTTCTTCTCAACTGACAGTCAATCAAACAAAGAACTGTTTCCATCAGTGAAAATATTTTTAATTTTTTTTAAAACACACAATCAGCAAATTCTATTTACATAATGATAGAAAAATATTCCAACTGGACTTTTAAGAGCATTAACTTGATGGCTGTTCAATATGAACAGCCTCTTGTGGTTTCCTCAAGCAGAATGAAAATAAAAGAAAACTGTTACAAAAGTGACGGGAAACCATAAAACAGACAGTGTCTCTCTGCAGACTGACAACACACAGGTGGATTCTCATTCAACATTCCTGAACGGTGACTTTGCTACTACATAAAGCAACAATACACAATGCTTCTTATATAGCTGAGCTTATATTGTTGTCTGGTTGTGTATTTTTTATGTCCACAGAGAAACGCAGTCAGTAGGCCACACAGATATTTCATGTGCATGAGCAGGACATTTTGCAGCTGTGTGAAATATTAACAACATTAACTTATTGTTTTTGGTTCATCAGAATCAAACAGCAAACAGACCTTTGACAATAAGTTCACACCTGTTGTCTGGGGGTTTGCTGAAAGGCATGGTGGGAAACTTAACAAACGTGAAGTGAAAAAGCAAATGAAGGTCGACGCCCCAAAAAGTAAACATTTCACTTACAAAATAAGACACGTGATATCTGAGAGTTTAGGAGGTAACCATAGAAACATCAGCAGCAACAGTAGAGCAGGAGGGAGTCAGGGCAGACGTAATCATGGAGATGCCAGCAGAAGCTGCTGTTGAAGTCTGTGTGGTAATGGAGGACTCGGCGGGGCGAGCAGCAACTGGTTTGGCGAGCTTCATGGGAATGAAGACATTAGAGGAACAGTGCTCACTCAGATACTCGCCTCCTTTCTCCTCATAGTCCTGTCTGCTGATCCATCCCTCTGCTGCTCCTCCAGGTGGATGCTCCAGAGCCCAGTCTCTTGCGCCGTACCAGGCATCCAGGGCTGGCTGTGATGCCATGGTCACCTGGGAAGGAGTGCAAACGTAACAGAAAACAGGTTAGCTCTGGATTATCTAAAGTACCCCCTCTGAAAAGGAGTTGGCCAGTGCAGACAACTGGTTTCTATAGATTTTAGTTTTTTCTTATACTTTCTCCTACTCTTTTACACTTTTTATATTTTTAAAACCAGGCTTTCATATGCATTTTTTTTATATACATATATATATATATATATATATGCACACACAGTATATGTAAGGATCCAGTTTAGATGCATTTGGATGTAAGATTCCACTGTAAGACAGAGTAAAATCTTGTAAACCTTGCAATGTAATATGACGGTCTGTTAGTAAGAACAGTCATTTGGGTAGATTAATGGATCATTTATAGTCTGTATAAACAAAGACAGAAATCTAATCAGTTAAAATTATTTGTATCTTCCCATTTTCAGTTTGAAGTGGTGAAAGTGACCGCCTTAACGTTGTGCTATGAGTTAGCAATATATGCTATCAAACATGAAAAAAGTCAAACATTCTAACAGAATTCAGTCTGTATTAGTCAAGGTCTGAAACATGTGAAGTGGGGTGTGATTCAGAGCTTCATGCTGTGACACCGTGGATAGGTGTGTATAAAAGTGTTTTAGAAAGGACATAGGCTGTACCTTGAAGTGTGACTGGAAGGGCCTCATAGCCAGCAGCTCTCTCTCCACTCTCTCCCTCATCCCAGGGTACTGCATGTTCCCTCCTGTCAGAAACACATTGCTCACCAGCGCCTCCTGCTGCTCTGGAGTGTACCTGTATGTAGTATAGGAGAAGTAAGAAAAACATTTATGTGTCAGAGTTGTAACCTTTCAAGTGCCATTTCTTCAAAACAACTATTGTTAATCGGAGAAATAGGATCTTATAGATGCTAAAAAGAGAATTTGCGGGATCCATGTGCGTGTCTTCATTTGTGTCTGGCTAGGTTTAAATACTGTACACCAATTTAATGTTTAATGTTGCGATTGCACTTGCTATCATTACCTGGCAAGGACGTACTGCAGCGTCTCCATCAGTCCCATCTGGTCCTCTCCGGTCAGCGAGGGCTGGAACAGGATCTCTGGACAGCGCAGACGCTCAGTCCCTACAAACAGCTGGTGGTACTCTGCCATGTTGAACATAGGCTGGAGACAAGAGCAAAGTTATTTTTCACTGATGTGGCAAGCACTGGCACCAAATGTTTCAGGTCATGGGCAAAGTTAGCCAGCTTCATTATTGCTTTGGCACAAAAACAATATACAAGACAAAACCTTTTCTCATACATTCTGCAACACATTAAACTGGCAGATAATTGCCTGCACAGCATTAATAAGGGTCTAAATATCTGTGTGGGAAGTTGCAGTGTCTCTGTGCCACTACCTGAACCACATTAGCAGGTTTTTCCGGCAGCGTGTCCTCAGGGAAGTCAGGATCCATCAGCATCACTCCGTCTCCCTCGTCCATCGGCTGCTCCAGCTCAGACACCTGCAGAGAGCCACAGAACAGCCTCAGGCTTCGTTTGAACTGCAGCAAACAGGGACAGTCCTCCAGAGCCTTAAGTCAGCGTAATGACATGCAGACCTAATTACTGGATCATTTGAATTTGACTTAACCTCAGTGAGTTTAAGTTAATTAGCTGCTGTCATTACACAGTATAGGAAACTACATTGTATGTATGAATATATTGTAATTTGACCACTTTGTTTCCTTGTTAGTGTTGGCAACTGATGCATTTACATTCCTAGCTAAGAGCCAAATTATGCCGAACATATAGAGAACCACTGCTTTTATTTTTCTGTTGTACACTCAGGTTATATATATGTTTTATATATATTTATATATATGTTTTATGCATTAATTGTCATGGACCATAGGATTTAGGAGTTTTACCAGACACGTAGCCTCAGACTATGGGCACAGCGCCTTTGTCACAAAATGACAAATCAAGACTTGCTATTTTTCTTTGATTTGGTGGAGTCACACCAACCTCCATCTTTCCCTCTGCTCCGTCACTGTGCAGCAGCTTCTGTCTGCCCTGTTCCACAGCCAGCTGCAGTTTGTTGATGTACGACTGCAGCTCCTCAGCCGAGTCCATGTTGAGCTCCACCAGGCTTTTATGAAACTGATCCAACAGGCCATCGTCCAGCAGTTCCTGCACTCACAGAATTCTATGGTCACTGCGCAGCACACACCAGCTGTGTTTTCATGTCAGCTGAAGGAGCTACATTTTATTTTGAACACTTTTATAGTTACATCTCAATTCCTTAGAAGAACAAACTGACTTTTTACAGTCTTCTTTGATATTGAGTCTTACACTTAATAAAACACTACTTGAGAAACTTGAAGAGCACCACAGTAAACTATAAATGAAACAATGGCTTCCTTGCCTGCACTGCCATAAGTTTGTCCAGCCTCACGTGGTCCTGCTGCAGCTTCTCCTCCCGGCGGCGAGCATTGATCTCCTGAAGCCGTCGAAGCTGCTGAGCTCGCCTCTCCTGCCTCTCCTCCACGCTCACACAGCCGCCTGGCACCTTGCCCGAGAAGGGAAGTTGCATACGGTGAACCTCCCGCTCATAAAAGTCTGGGCTGCGCCACTTTTCCAGCTCTATGGAGAACAATGGAAGTGGAAGGTAAGCAAAGAAGAAAGGAAGAAAAGGTGTGCATCTATCACCATGTTGTCTTCTAGCTCCTTTAATCTACAACCACCGCCACAGAACGGTCATGTCTGTGTCCAGTTTATTCATGTTACTTAAGATTCATTTGGGAGTTCTTGAACTATTCAAAAACTGAATGGTTATTAACTGCTGTAAGTTGGAGCAGTAAAATGTATGTCTGCGCTAACATGCTGTACCTTCATGATAATCCACAGCAGTGTAACTGTGCTCATGCAGCAGCTCCTCCATGCGGCTGAGTGTGATGGCAGCGAGGTGACCTGGGTATTTCAGGTGGAGGAGGCGCTGCAGGTAGGACGCTGCCTGGCTCCCAGCCACATTCACACGCTTACAGTTCACCGCATCCAACCTCGAATCACAACCATTTCAAAATTAGACTCTGATGACAGTGTGTGAATGATGGCACTAAAGGGGAAAAACAATGGTCTAATACACATTTTGACACATCACTTTGGTTTTCATACTAAGACATGTCAAAATGTCATCTGTGACAAAAGCTTATCAGGAAAAAAGAGCATTTCTTGCAGAAAGATATAAAATGAACCGTGGAAGGGCAAAAACAGCACAGACACAGTTGTCTGTGTCTGTAATTCTCACCTGCCATTTATAACTGGTAAGATGTGTGAGCAGTGGTATCCGGAGGACAGAACAATGCCAGTGTGTGGTGGATGGATGTTCCTGTGATAGTTATTGTAGTAGAAACTGTACAAGCCGTCCACACCGTAGGAGACGTACGGCACATGGTAGCACTCAAACAGCAGCTCTGACATCATCTGTCGACAGTGCAGGGGGTTACATGGTGCCTCTGTTAGCACCATGGGGTGCTCCACGCTGCCCTACAAAAGCAGAGTGGTCATCATTGCCATTTCATATAAAACACTACCAGTATGCATTAGTGTAATTAACACACAGCTCATTTTGCTAGGAAACATAAAAATATCTGTTTGTCAGATTAGAAATAAAACACATGAACTTCTCACGTGTACATCTTAGATACAGACATCTGTTTTTTGTATTATTATGCTTGACCTCAGGAACTTTGGCTGGTCGAACTGAAAATATCATGATGCCAGAACTGAAGGTGCCATTCCAAATATTAATGTAGTCTATATATGTAGTCAATAAATCAGCAACAATTTTGATAAATAATTTATAAGCAAAACCATCTGTCATGGTAGACAGAATGTTGATCGAACAGCACTTAACTTTAATAACCAAGTCAAACGTGGTTCAATATTGTTTTTACCAACTCAGGATCATTTCTAAAAATCAGATCATCTTTATCAATCATTGACCTACAAAAAGTTGTTTTTATGTATGTTTTTATTTATTCTCAGCTTGATTATTGTAATGCACTTTATTTGGGTATCAGCCAGGCCGCAATACACCAGTCAATCTTCAGCTTGTACAAAATGCTGCTGCTTGTCTTATTACTGGAACAAACAGGTGCAGTCACATGACTCCGGTGCTGGCCTCCCTTCACTGGCTCCCTGTTAGATCTTAGATTGATTTTTAAATTTTATTACCCCCCCCCCTCCCCCAAGGTCAAGGCTTGTGAGTGGGCGCTCACTATTATAGCTCAAACACTCTGTGTGCTATATAGATAAAGTTATTATTATTGTTGTTGTTATTATTATTATAACACTGATAAATTTGAAGATATATTGGGCTCCAGGAAATTGTGATGGGTATTTTCACTATTTTCTGACTATTACAGACTACAGACTAAATAATAATAATTATTATTAATCTGATTGACAAATTAATTGAAAATTTTATGAAGTGTTAGCTACAGCCCCAATGTTTACTTGTATATAAATTTTTCAAGTATGTCCCTGTATTTGTCTGGCTCTGATGTGATGTGGAGACCTTTGTTAATGATATCCTGGTAGTCTTTGACTGGGGTCTATGGAACATTAGAACAAACTACTCCTGCTCTTGTTGAAAAGGCTCTAATAGGAAAAGAAAAGATATTATATGGTGAACTGAAATTTAAAATAAGATGTCAGCATCTTCCTTCTCGTGAAATCAAAGCGAAGACATGTGCACACATCTGCTGGGGGTTACCAATTCGGCACAACACCAGCCCCCTGACACTAATACCTCAGAGGCGACGCCCAGGTGTGTAAACACATAGTCGAAGATGAGTTCCTGAATCTCGAAGTTGACCACCACGTTTCGGTCGAACTGGCTCTTCAGCAGCCACCGCAGCGGCTCCAGGTTAGTGATGTCATTACCGATCTGGGTCTCGCTGCGAGCGGCTCCTCTGCTGCGCGCCGCCACCGACCTGAAGAGCAGGCGCGGAGAGGCAAACTCCGCCACTGGAGCCCCCCAGCCGGCCCGGGTTTGGAAGGAGCCGTTATCTATCACTATCGGGGCCGATGTAGGGGTCAGACACTGGGCAGGAAGCTCAAAAATCGGGTCGGGAGAGGTTTTGCAGTCCTGAAAAGAGAAGATTTGACAAACCGGTCGCTCTAGGGAAGCCATTTTGAAAATGCGTCACCGCAAAAATATATCCGAGTGGAAGCTTAGTGCCGCCGACTTAAGTTCCGACTCAACATAGAGTATTGGATTGGTGAAGAGCAGTATGCAGTAAAAATATCTGAGTAGCACTTGAGCAAAAATAAGTAAAATTCATATATTATAACATAGTATGACAGCTGTACTGTTTCAAAAATAAAAAACAAACAAAATGACCTCACATTTTCATGACTTATATTTTAATTTCCAACTAAACATTAGCTGTTTGTCTGCACTGCAACAAAAGATTGGAAACAGTAATGTATTGTGTTTGAATATGCACAGTTATAATAAACGTCAATTATGAAAAATATCTTCCTTTTACCACCAGAGGTCGCAGTCCACTTTGTGTAATAAGTCCCTGTGAGATGAGACATTGATTTATCCTTGGTGAATTAATAGGTATCAGTCTCTCAGATTAGCCTGTTTATCATTAAGTCACACTGTAGGATAAATAAGAATAATACACTTCTATATCTTACTATTTAAGTATTTTTAAACTGATTTGTATAAAATAGCAATTGCCATTTACACAAGGTAGTAATTTCACTTTACCACTTAAATCTGACTGATTCATTGTTTGGCCACTTGGTGCAAACGCATGCTGTGTGCAGCCACACTTTCTTCAAATCCATAGACATCAACTTTAAATTCTTGTGGCGATCCCAAAGTTTCCCTTTAATGGAATGGTACAGCCATTAAAAAGCCAATACATTTATCACAGAGCTATTTCCAATCTGTGTGCAAAATAAAGGAAATGTTACAAATCTGACTGCCATTTATCATCACTCACCAACTAAAATTTGGGGTCAACTAGAAATATATTCTAGGTGAGTCCATGATGAAGTTACAATGAAACCATGTGAACAGACATTTTCCCTCAGGCCTGAGATCCCTGACTTCTTTCTGTCTGCCATCCTGTTAGTCTCAGCTGACCGGGTGAAGCCTCAGCTGGTGATGTGGCACACCTGCACATGACAGCTACTGCATGTCCCAGTTGGCTTCATTTCAGACCATTCTGTTGATACACATGTTGGAGATCTCACATCTGATCTTTTTGTTACCCTGCAGTGTATGATCTAACGCAATACCCATTGAGGTGCAGTACAGTTTAGTCAGATAATAAACAAAGTGTGCAGTTTTTCTTCTAAATTTCCATAACTCGTTAGAGGAATAAATCTAAATCAACGACACAGAATTTTCAAGTTTTCATTCATATACCTTCCTTCAGCAACCTATTAATTAACCAAATATTAATCCCAGAGATTAATCTATGAGAGAAATAATCTACGTTGGATTAAAATGGAAACATCAGATTATGCATTATCTACAATGCATCTATCATACAAAAGTATTTTTCAATTTTCACATCACAGCAGTTTCAATCATCCTTCATATGCTCTTATTTCTTGCCTTGTATTTTTTAATAGAATAGAACTGTCAGTTAAACTCTTCAATACTGCAGCATCTAGAGAAATCTTTACAAAGCCAGTGTTACACCCCACAGAACTTTTAAATTTGAATCAAATATGTTTGGTATTTTATATATAAAGTCATGTACAAGACATATACAATATTTCCATTTGATGTAATGGTGGTGCAGCAAAATAAAATGGCTGTGCATATTTTGTTCAATATATTATTATAATTCATAGCAAGGACATATGCAAAACAGTTCTTTCCATTTGGATATATGACAGTTTTGCTTTTCTGATCATTTTTTTTTATTTGCGGTGTCATCTATATGTATAACCATTTTTTTTAACCTTTTTTTGGCAGAGGGACATGCAGTTAACAGTAAAGGAAGTGTGTTCAGGGCATTGATTGGATTTATTTCCTGGACAGCACAGATATTTGGGAGCAGAGGATGAAAAGGACAAAGGAAGGAAAATGTGTTGCGTGTATGTGTGGGAGGGGTGTTACTGTATGAAGCTTGATGGTGTGTCACTGAAGCATAACACAGTTCACTGCTCCGGCACAAAGCTCTAAGTGACTGCCGTCCCCCTCCTCCTGATGCTAATAAGCAGATCTGGGTCAGCTTACCCTCTCAAACACACACACACACACACACACACACACACACACACACACACACACACACACACACACACACGGCTGCATACGGCCACAAACTTATACAAATACACCCCCATCTACGTTCTCTCCTCCAAAACACACACACACACACACACACACACACACACACACACACACACACACACACATACACACATACACACACACAGACACACACATACTGGCATCCATTACTCCTGGGAGGCAAGACATGACATTGTGCCGCTGTCCATGCACGATGCTTGCAACTCTCTGCTTGCTGTGCTTGTCATCCAGGCAGCAGTGGTGAGGCACAGGGGAACTAATGGTCTACAAGCACTCTGGGACTGCCACGCGTGACACCAAGCAGCCTCCATTTTGTGGAGGAATGAACAGACTGTTAGTTCCCACTGACAGGGAAGGGGAAGGAGGAGTGAATTACAATGGTAGATAGGGCCAATTATGTTTAGTGTTCATGAACAATACCATGATGTGATCATGTCTTTCACTGGGGGGGTGAAAACAGAAAATAAAATGTTAAATACAGGGAATCGCTGTATATTTAGGATTACTGAGGAATAATTCATGGATCATTTATTACACTTTTTGTTTTGTTAAAAAATCATTCATGTTTTTCTTTCATATACTGTGTCTTCTTCACATAGGCAGTTATGGGACAGTCCCTCTCTTTTTCTCACAGTTCTCCAGGGATAAGAACCAGCAACACTTCAATCACAAATTCTCTTCTAGAACATGTTGAGGGTTTCCACCTCCTCTTCAAATGGTGGTTTTATGGAAGCAGAGACTGTGACTTCTCAGTGACAATATGCTATGCTATGTTTTCTTTTTTTTCTTTTCTTTTTCGCTGAATGCTCTGGGGGGAAAACATCTATCAGTGACGATTATGCATGTGATTATGAATCACAGAATTCTGGAACCTTTCTTTTATAAACAGTGAACATCCTGGAATCAGAAGACCTTTTTTTGCAATTAAAATGTAGCTTTATCTGTATTGTTTCATGATGTCACAAGAGAATTTTAATTAAATAATTTATTGTTATTTTTATTTTTATTGGAATGGCCATGACTAAGTGCAGCAAATCTTTGTTCATTTGTTCATATGATTTCACAGGAGCAAAAACTGGATTATAATTATGGATTAACTTTAACCTGTGAATGTGTAAACCCCCCCCCCCCCACCCCCCACCCCACCCGTGTGTGTGTGTGTGTGTGTGTGTGTGTGTGTGTGTGTGTGTTTGTGTGAGATAGAGAGAGAAAGAGAGAGAGTGACGGGATGACAGTTGGAGGAATAGAGCCCAGTTTACGTAACAATCTTGACTCTGAGCACTTCTGATATATCAGAGCCACACTGCGGACAAAACCCCTAGCAACCTCCATGACTCTCCTCTATACCCTGTCACGCCTACACACACAGACACACACACACACACACACACACACACACAATCTTCCTCTTTGAGACACATACACTCTAACCTCCATCTCTTTGTCTTTTATTCTGTCATACACACACACACACACACACACACACACACACACACACACACACACACACACACACACACACACACAGTCTGTCACTACTGCTCTCCTCAGTCCCTGGCCCTATGAGCCCAGCAGATCTTTTTGGGCCATATAGTGATTAATGTGTTTGTGCACCTGTCACTATTCATGCATTCATGTATGTGTGGGAGAGTGTGCATGAGTGCACGTGACTGTGAGCGTGGGAAGGCTATTTCCAAAAACTCACATATTCATATTTATTTGTGTGTGTGTGTGTGAATATGTGTATGTTTCATGTCCTCAATCTCTGTCTTCTTCAAAATGTCTTCAAAATGTCTGTACAGTATCAGTATCTCTTTAGAAAGCAGGCATTTAAAATGTCAGATATGTTTGGCCTTGCACAGAAGCTGCTGAAGCTGTGCCATGAAATGACTGCCCACCATACCCGACCCCCAAACAGTAATTGTCCAATCATAGCCACGAGAATTTAGCATGTGTTAAGCTTTGCATTTGTACACATGTCAAAGCAGGGCGCATGGGGCTCTAATAAACGTGATAGGAGCGATCCTGCACAATTGTATTCTGATGAATTTATTGACAAAAACATGATGAATTTAAATAATCTAATCAGTGGTCAGGAGTTTGACGGTGCGTTCTTCTACAAAGCACTAAACTGCGCAGGATTTAGGCCTTCTCAAAACATCATGGTTATCATCAGCCAATCAGTATTAGGCCTTCCACAGATCCGGATGCAGATGCACATATAAAAAAATCAGTTGCTATTTGACTGCTCTGTAATTTTATTATTATTATTGTTATTTATGTATTTTATTTTGACATTTTTTTTCGCTCCCTTCCTATAACCAGAAAAAAATGTTCGGCTTGAATGCGTCTAATCCTCCTTCCACCAAGGCAGTCAAGACTTTCAAAAAAACCAAAAACACATTTTTTTTAAAAAACCATCCCGTACTGGGAAAATCTATTTTCTCCAAAATCTCCAATCTCCAAAACGTACACACACACATGCACACATCCTGTCCAATTACTGTGGCCATGGCAACTATCAGAGATTATTGCTCTCAGTCAGGGCTGCACGGCTATAAAACGAGGCTATAAGCCCCTCCATATCTCCGGCATCCATACACACACACAAACACAATGAGCAGGCATACACTCCCCTCTCTGAATGTCTCTCTCTCTCGATGTCTCTCACTCATACACACACATCGAGCACGAATTAATCCTTCTCTTTGTAGCCTCAGAAGCTAAATTGGTCGCCACAGCAACCAATCTCAGAGGCCTTTCAAAGAACAATGACAGACTAAAAATCCAGTTTGTCATGAGGAAGTAGTTTAGAAATAGCCTACATCTACCGTGCTGGACTGAATTTAATG